TCCTCTTCTCCTTCTTCTTCTTCTTCTTCTTCTTCTTCTTCTCCAGGCCTTTTAATTTTTTTTTTTATTTTGAGACAGGGACTCACTAAATTGTTGAGGCTGGTCTCAAATTTGTAATCCTCCTGTCTCAACTTTCTGAGTTGGTGGGATTACAGGTATATACCACCAGGTTGATCTCCCACTTCCATTATTAAGCTGTGTAAGTTACCATTTGTGAATTAAAAAAAAAAAAAATTAGCACTAGGCATTGTGGCCTATAATTTCAGCTACACAGGAAGCTAAGGCAGGAGGATCACAAATTCAAGGTTAGCCTGGGCAATTTAGCAAGACCTTGGCTCAAAATAAAAAATAAGAAAGGGCTGTGAGTGTTCAATGACAAAGTGCACCCTGAGTTCAATCTCCAATACTGAGAAAAAAATTTTAGTAATACTTTTCTTACTTATGATTTTGGGTAAGACAGATATCCAAGAAAGATAAGACTTGTAATTTTAGTTCTTTTTATTTTCTTTTCCAGATTGTCTGTGTCTTGAGACTAAGATAAAAAAGACTTTGGATTTATTTATTTGTTGTATACTATTTATGTTTGGGCCTTTGACCATAGACATAGTATCATTATATATATATAGTGGTATTCGTTAAGCTGTATCATCATGTAGTGGTCAATAATAAAACAGCTGAAATGGGAGCTGGGGGTGTGGCTCAGTTTTTGAGCCCTTGCCTAATGTGCAAGGAGTGAGATTACTGGATTCAATCCACCAAAAAAAAATCTAACTGTAAATGCAAAAAGATCCTAAGAACTTGTTTTTTGTGGGGTAATTTGTGTTTTTAATAAAGCTTTCTTGCCAGGCTTAGTGGCACCTTCCTATAATCCCAGTGGATAGGGAGATAAGGCAAGAGGATCACAAGTTCAAGGCCAGCCTCAGCACCTTATTGAAGCCCTAAGCAACTTAGTGAGACCCTGTCTCAAAATAAAAAATAAGCATGCCTGTAATGCCAGCAGCTCAGAAGGCGGAGGTAGAAGGATCACAAATTTGACTCCAGCCTCACAATTCAGCAGGCCCTAAGTAACTTAGTGAGACTCTGTCTAAAAATAAAAAAAAAAATTTTTTAAAGGGCTGGAGATGTAGCCCAGTGGTAAAACGCCTCTGGGTTCAATCCTCAGTACCAAAAAATAAAATAGGGCTGGGGGTATGACTCAGTGGCTAAATGCCCCTAGATTCAATTCCCAGTATCAAAAAAAAGTTTTCTCTTGTTTTCTTTCAGCTTCAAGGTATTGCAGCATGCTGATTGAAGAAGGAGGGCTGCAGCATTTATACAACATCAAAGAACATGAACAGACTGATCCCCATGTTCAACAGATTGCTGTGGCCATTCTGGACAGCTTAGAAAAACACATTGTGCGCCATGGGAGGCCACCTCCCTGTAAAAAGCAGCCTCAGACTAGACTAAATTAATATCCATAGATTATTGGATCACTGAACCACAGGAATTTGTGATTGGTTCATTTGGAATATCTTACCCTCTGTGGTGTTTTGGGGGGGTTCTGTGACAAGATTCATAAGATCAGTTTGGGATTGATAATGTACACTACTGCCCATGTGAACAGTCTCTAATTTGTCTTGTGATTTTTAACTAATGAGGCAAGAAAGGTCTCTTCCTTCATCATTGCCTTTTAGGAAATTTTCCACATCTTTCAGTGTTTGAACTTATCTGTGCTTGAGATTCTAAAGTTTTATGATAAAGTTTGCACGAACCCTTAGGCCAGATTCTTCTGATCTCAGCGTCCCTTCCAATCAATTTGCAGCTTCCCATGAGCTGTTAACTTGATTTCTGGCACTGCTTCACTTGTAAATTTTATACTGCTTCTGTACAAAATGCCTTTATTCTCTGTGTATCTTTTACAAGATGTCCTTCTTAGTATGAAAGAATGGAAATCTAAGTTGTCTCCTTGTGGAAGTTACTCACTGTAACCTGGATGGCTAACAGAAAAATATTTTTAGAGGGCTGGGGATGTATCTCAGTGGTAGAGCGCTTGCCCAGCATGTGTAAGGCCCTGTGTTCAATTCCTAGTACTACAAAGACAAAGAGAAAGAAAAAGAAAAGAAGAAGAAGAAAAGAAAGAAAAATATATTAGGAAGAAAAACTACTAAAGAAGAATAAAGGTTAGGAATTGGGAATTGCTTTCATGGTATAGTTTTTTAAATGGGCCAGGCTATCCTTCTGGAGACCATCTGTCTTGAGGCAGTGAGCAGAAGCTGGTTTTCTGTATTTATGGCTGGAAGTATGGACTGCTACTTCCTGTACAGACTGCAGGTTACTCTCAACAAATATTTCCCCAAATTATCTCAGTATAAAATATTATAGCATTCTGTATTTAAGCCTGTATAATTCTCCATTATGTCATAATGTTGTGAAAATGTGAATTTTTTACAAATTGTCTCTGGTTCAAACTAGCCATTCTTTCCCCTCTATTTCAAAGTCATTTTTGTTCAGTGGAATAGTGACTACTTGTGGTATTGACTTACTCAGTTAAAATACAATTGACAACAGTAAATTTTGCCACAAAAAGTTTAATTTGGGCTGGGCGTATAACTCAGTGGTAGAGTGGTATTTAGTTTGTGCAAGGCCCTGGGTTTAATGCCCCCCAAAAGGTTAAATTTTCTTTTGTTCATATATATGTCTTCTTGATGTGTTCATGTTGGAGAAAAATGTCCATATCTCACTGCCAAAAATGCAAGAGAAGAATTAGTTATTGTTAAATGTTTAGATACAATGATTATAGTTGCTGTGGAGAAAAGGAAATATTTTTGATGGATTATTTTTTAGACAGTTGCCTTTTCCTTAAGATAGTTGACCCAGTATAGTAAAGAATCAATTATCATTTTATCAATAATTGCACTTGGGAGGCAGCAAGTTGCCTGGAAATGTAAATTCCATTTAAATTTTCACTTTGAGATAAGGTTCTTCTGTAATCTCAGATTACTACTTTTTTTTTTTCATAGATGGACAAAATGTTTTCAGTAGAGATTTTAAATGGGATGTTTAAATTGCAGTATTTTTTCCAAAGGTATTTTAGCTTAGAAAGAAGCTGGTTTGATAATATGCTGGTAACATTTTTGACACACATATTTGACCCACTATCACAATAATCAGCTTTGAATTTTTTCAAGTTCCTTCATGGGAATGAAAACTGACTTATATTAAAAGAAAACAAATATTTAGAACCACTAAAAGCACATTAAATTGTGTTTTAATTCTAACTTAATTGGCTTAAAGGAATTTTTTTTAGGTATAAAGTGAATTTTTAAAGTTTTCTTTCCTTTTTTCTCCTCCTCATTCTCATTTTTATTATTTTTTATTTTATACTGGGATTGAACCCATGGATGTTTTTACCACTGAGGTACATCCCAGCTCTTTTTGTTTTTCACTTTTGAGACAGGATCTTGCTAATAAGTTGCTTAGGGCATCTCTTGAAGTCCTGAGAATGGCCTGGACCTTGGGCCAAGGGATCCTACTGCCTCAGCTTCCCCAGTCACCAGAATTACAGGCATGCATCTCCATACTTTGTCTCCCTTTTTTCTCAGTGTCTAAGGCAAAATTTAGAAAATAGGATGGCCTGCAATAACTTGAAAGTTGCTAGCTCTGTTGACCATTTTCAGGTCTGTTTTGTGTACTGAAGGGAAATCCTGTCTGAGAAATTTGTCTTCAAATTTGTTTTACACTGTTCAAGACAACTGTGTATGTTCCCTGTTAGACTATTGATAGGTTTTTATCTTTACAAATTGTTTTCAGAAATGGCTAAAAATGTACAGAAAACAGTAAATCCCTTCTTTATTCAGAATAAATATGAAGACTCAAAAAATATTTAAAGTTAAAGTTAAATTTACTATTTTAGTAGTAGCCAGATCTGAGTCTTAAAAGCAAAACAAGCACATCTCAAATATATAAAAATTTTGGTGCCTTTCTGGTTGGGATGGTTCTTAAAATTTTGTGTATAATTAAGGCATAGAATTAACTGTAAGATCTTGAATCTGGTTGAAATATAATGGATGTATATATTGAAATTATGAGGTATAACTGGAGTCTCTACAGTTAGTGTCTATGAGGCTTCTTTTTTGTAGCTGTAGACTAGAATGTACCAGTACTTGGTACCTTCAAAGGTTACCTTTTGGTGACGTAGAGGTGCTGTTTCAAGCACAGCTTAGACTAGAGTTAAACCACTCAAATCATTGGTGTGCTCAGATATTATTATACATCAGTAGATCAGTTTAGGAGCAACAGCAAGGTTTGGATCTACTAAAGGAAATGGAATTAGACCTTTTAGATTATAATGGTATGTGTGGGTATCATTGAGTAAGACAAGAAAGAAGTAGAACAAATTTTATTAGGGATCTTATTCTTTGTATCAAGTTGTGCTATAGTCTTTATATTCTAAAAAGCATTTCTTTTGGGTTGAGGGCATAGCTCAGGTCAGTAGTTGAACATGTGCTTGGCATGTACAAGGCCTGGGGTTCAAACCCAAGCACCAAAAAGAAAAGAGTATTAGTTTTTTTTTTTTTCTTTTTGTAGTTAAAAAAGAAGCATAAATCAAGTACTAATGGGGGTTAGTTTATTCTTCAACCATACATGCAGTGGCTACTGATCTAGGTTGAGGATTTTTATAAAGCGTATCAGACCCATAATTCCTGGAGTTGACCATAAATATTGCTGCTTGTCATCCCTGGGTGGATATGCCATTAATAGAAGGGGATTTCCCTAGGTGGGGGTAAATAAGGTTGCTATGGGAATTTGCTTTCCTGATCTCTTTTATTTTCAAACTTCTGAAGAATCAAAGATTCATATTTTAAACTATTAATCCTATTTGTCTAGTTTAGAAAGTTGCTCTTACAAATGAGTCCTTTTACATTGACCTGTTTTTCTCCTAGTCATTTTAGTTTCGCTGTGTTTTTAATTATGCTATTTATCAAAGTAGCACCGGGCCATCTTCCATCCTCTTTGAGCAAATCTTAATGAAAACATTTTATGCACCAAATTGGGGTAAATTAATGAACCAAAAGTTTGGCTTAGTGTGTTTATTTATTTTTTGTTTTGTTTCATTGGGCTTAGTGTTTTAAAATGCATTACCCCCCCCCCCCAAAAAAAAAAAAAAAAAACCACTGTGTAGCGGTGCTCAAGGAACAGAGGTAGGAGAAATGTACTGTTTTATATATTTAAAAATGCACCCCACTCCTGCCCTCTCATGTATGTTTACATATTTGGTTTTTGTACAACATTAAAAGGGGTATAAACAGTATTATTTATTTGAAGGCATAAGTTAAAGACAGAGTCATATTGTCAGCTGATGTGGGCTTTTTCAGTTTTATCTGTTGTTATTTATTGGGGGACTTTGTACAGTTAGGGCTTCAAAATTGCTCTGAGACAGCTTTCAGATATGTTTGCAAACTTTTGGTTTCCCTCTTAAATCCACTGTAGCAGTTTTGAATGATTTTGTGAATAAGGGATGTTAGTCTTTACCATTTGCTGAGTGTTCACATTTTTAATTTTCAGTGTTAACTGTTTGTTTTAGGAATAATGTAAAATCAACGTTTGGTAATGAGAGTAGTAGTATGATAGGAAAATGCTGATTGGGCTTTAAATGAGTGATTGCTTTTTTTACTTAGTGTTTCATAGACTTTGCATGACATGGTATACTCCTAATTATGCATTCTTTCATTTCCAAATCAGTCTTAACCCAAGATACTTTTATGTTAACTGACTAGTGGCCTAAAAAAGAACTTATTCTGCTTGTTTGTCCCCTGCCCCACTCTTTTTTGGTAAGTTATGCAAAGATTAATGCTGTTTCTTATTACTCTGAATGGAATAAGAGCTCTCTTGGAGAGCTTAAAGCCAGACAGGAAACTATTGTGATGGTAGCATACACCTGTGATCCCAGCTACTCTGAAGGTGAAACAGGAGGGTCATAAGTTCAAGGTCAACATCAGCAATTTAGCAAGATCCTGTCTCAAAGTGAAAAATAATGGGGATGTAGCCCCGTGGTAAAGAAACCGTGAATTCAATTCCCCATGCTGTGGGGAAAAAATTCAGAGCTGGGCATGGTGTACACTTTCATAATCCCAGCTATTCTGGAAGCTGAGGTGGGAGAATTAGCTTGAGCCTAGGAATTGGAGGCCAGCCTGGGCAACATAGTGAGACCCTGTGTCAAAAAAAATTTTTTTTCCCCAACAATTCAAAATTATGGAAAGTCAGAAATCTAGTTCATTAATAGTATGTGATTAATTTTGGCGTTACTATGGGTAAAATTGGGTTCTTGTGTATTTATTTAATCAGCTTTTGAAGCAAGTAACCACTTAACTAGTGAAAGCTGAGACACTTTATTGAGAGCATTTTTCCCTCTAAAAATAAGAGACTGTGAAGATCAATACTCAGATTGATCTGCAACAATACAAGTTTTTTAAATACTTGATTTATATAGGATTCCCTTTATCAAATCCTCACTGACTTGTATGAGAAAAGCTATCTTTTGCTTGAATTCTGATGAAATAATTTAGCTCCTTTCAAAGGATATGAAAAATTGATTGGAATGTGTAATGTGTGTACATTTTAAAGACTCAATTATCTGGATTGGAGGCATTGTTTTCATTATGGCCAGATGAATGGGAATATTCTGTACATGAATCATGCTATATTTTAAATCAGGACATCACTTAAGTATTAATGTGTGTACAGATTTTTGTTTTGGATTTTTTTTGCCTAAATAAATGTTATAAATTTTATGTAAAGTGTGTCTTGTCTACTTTGCTTCTAGTCATTTGCTTTAAAATTTAATATTAATGCAACTGGGTGTGGTGGCTTACACCTATAATTCCAGCAGGTTAAGAGCTGAGGAATGAGGACCTCAAGTTCATGGCTGATTCAGAAAGTTAGGAAGGACCTAAGCAATTTAGTAAGAGCCTGTCTCAAAATAAAAGAATAAAAAGGACTGGGAATATGACTCAGCATCCTGAATTCAATCCCCAGTACCAACAAATAAATAAATAAAATAATATT